CTCTCTCTCTCTCTCTCTCTCTCTTTCTCTCGATAAATGACTCTTTTGTATAAAATAATATTTCAAAAAAGTGAGACTCAATTCATTGCACAAAAATTATACAAAAAAATAAAGTTTATATAAAACTAATGAAACATTTCAAAGAATAAGAAATATCTCACAAATTGTTGAACAAAACCGTAAGAAAAATGCAATGACTTGATGTCCAAACAGACCATAAGTATTAGCTTCGGGTGAATGAAAATACTAGTGAAAGCAGTTTTCAATGACACACATCATAATAGGTAAGCCATAAGGACTTTATATCATGTGTAAAGTCAGCACCTGATGAGCACCGGGATTGTCAACCCATGTAATCCTTTATATACTGTAGTGCTTTATTTGCAGAATATTCTGTGTATTAAATGTTACAGTATTAGTAAATTTAGTAAAAGTAATGTTTTTAACTTGTATATTTTTTTGCCGTTAAAAATATATAATATAACTTGTTATTTTATTATGCAATCAAAATAGTAAAAAAAATATTGACTTTCAATTGAATTTAAAGGGTTTTAAGTGTTTTAAGTTTTAAGTCTAAAATCTTAGTGAATGAGTTATTTTTAACAAACAAAAATTAATTGTAATATCAAAAGGCAAATGTCCATAAAATCGGTGCCATTTATATAAGTATACCATTTATATTGATATTGAAATTGATAGGCCTTTTGAACACTTTTTAAAGTTTTATTTTTCGGTATAAAACTTATAAATTTTTTCACAACAATAACAAAAATTCAAACAAATCTTTGAATAAATGTTTATTATTATCAAATGTTTATAAAAATTATAATATATATATTAGTTTAATCCGTATTAAAACTATATTACAAGCAATAATAAAAGTGTTAAATTTTTACTAACAATTAAAATATGTATATTCAGTGATGTATTGAATAATGTATTGATTTATTGAGAAGTGTTTACACAAAAGGGATTAATTGAAATGAAATCAATTATAGGGTTTATAATCATGACCTATAAGAACTTGCTATAAAATAACACGACATGCAGTTAATGATGATTGAAAATAAACCATTAAATTAAACTTAAAAAGATTTGAAATGTGAGCAAATTTAATAGATTTTCATTCTAAATTTGTGTTTGAAATATAAATCTGGTTCATTTTTTGATAACCCACGGGTGTCGCAGCACCTGCTGGAGGGACAGCCTCCGAGTCGGGTCCGTCTCAACCATACCGTACAGGAGTTGAATGAGTGGGTGATTGTATGAGAAACGGAGGCTCTGAACCAAATACTCGTTGAGCCACTGGCGGGCGTACAGACCGGGCCGTCGGCGGAGTGTCGCCGTCCACCGGTTCCGATCAAAGTCCAGGCCAATCAACGACACGGCCAGAGTCACGCCCAGCGAATACACGTCACACTTTTCCACCTCGAGTGGTACCCGACTGTCTGAATACTCATCATTGCTTTTGCACGCATTGTTCAACTCGGGTGACCTCCAAAATGATAGGTTTAGCATTGGTTTTACCTTCGTGGGCACACCAATATCGCCCAGTTTGTACGTAAACGGCCGGTTCGAGTGCTTTATGAACAGCACGTTATCTGGTTTGATGTCCAAATGGGCGATACGGTTGCCGTGCAAGTAGTCCAGCGCCGCCAACACCTGTGCGAACCACTGGTGGGCCTGAGTCTCGTCGAGTGGTTGCGGTGTCATTAGCCGGGTTAGGTCGCCGTCGCACAGCTCCATGAAAATGGCCACAGATTTGTACTCGCGCTTAGAACGAGGTTTGCGGATATGGATCACAGAGTTGACGGCAACCAGATTGGGATGACTCAACCCGCGCAGCACTTCCACGTCTTTCAGCATCTCTTGGACGGTACCCTTCAGTCCCTGCGTCGGCACAAACACGCGTTTCAACACGTGTTGGGACTTAAACCTCGCGACACACATCAGTTTGACCGCATACAGGCGCCCGTCTCGCAGGTCCAGCGCCCGCCACATCTGCGAAAAGCCTCCCTCACCGAGTTTGCGCTCCAACTGATAGCCCAGTTGTGTCAGGTGCTGGTAGTTTTGCTCCCATGTCTGAGTGGTGTCGATCTCGGGCCACGAGTCGGGATGAAAGTCCTCGTAATTGGCCGGACCGTAGAGGGGGAGGCCGTGCGGGTCAGAAGGGTAGGTGTGTATGGGTCCGGGTAGTTGTGGGACAGATGGCTTCGGGGCAGGGATTGGGACGAATGCGGGGGTCGTGTAACTGTCCAGAGTATTGTCATCACAATTATTATTGTAAAGTGTGTCGCACATCTTTACATCCTCCCCAATAGGCACTGTCAATCCGGGACCGGTATTAAACCCATAGATACCGATCTCTCCCTCAATGTTGTCCGTGTAGTGATCGTAAAACCGGTAGAAGTGTGTGTTTGGCCTACAATTAGCGTCTTGTATATGGGGTAAGTGTTGACCTATGAATATTGCCCAATCACCCCCTACTAGTGCATTCATACCCATCTGCATATACCAAGTTCGGTTGGCGGTCGAGTCATAGTGTAAAATTGCATTACTAAAAATTTCCCTCATATACGGCTTGTATATGTCGGGTACTGTCGTGACTAATACATGAGGCATAACTGACACCACTTACCATCAGCGATCTATTAGTCAACTGCAATGTAAAAAATGCATAAATATTTTAAATTTTTCAATGCTATTGTTAGGAAACTTTAAATATTGCTATTTTCAGAATTTTAAATATTTTTAACAATATTTAGTTATATTGTATTTCACCAACATACATGGTTTTACATTTTTATGGCCCTCACGCTAATGATAATCAGCGATAACATTGTCCATAAATTTAACCCTAATATTAATGCAAAGAAATCCCTATTGAATAACATATGGATATATTGTAAGCCATTGTTAGGTTTGGGTGAACACAAGGGTCGCCGTAATTATGTAAACCTATTATGGGTGCTATCGATCACACCATTGGTATACATCGTTGAGAACGACATAACGGGACAAATGGTTGACCGGGAAGTGTTAAATGCGGACACTATTGACGATCTGATTGACAAACGGCTGACGGTATACGCCGAAGGGTTTGTTCAGGTGATTATGACTGATCCCTGGATTAACAAACACCTAGAGCACGATTTTGGCTTAAAATATGCTAAATTACTTGCCAAATTAGAAAAGGCTACGTATGCAATAATAAATGAGATAAGTTCATGGGACAACGCTCAAGATGTGCATGATTATTTGCGGAACAAATCATTTACAGACACCGCCGAGGATATACAATTATACGTAAACTATTTGACCCGGTGTGCAAATCACATGAACCATATTTACCATATCAATGGGAATCATTGTGTTACAGACCCGGGTTTCATTATGCCAAGCTGGCTCATCAAGTGTAATTTATCATTATCCCAATTCACAATTGATACCTAGTAGGTAATAATAGTTTTTAAAATATTGGTTTCACAAATACAGTACACGTCGTTTATACGAGTCATCGATCTATCAATACTGGGTTCAAATGCAAGCTGATTATTACCATCATATTTATATGAATATGATTATAAACGCCAATATTATACCCCGGGGTAAAGAACCGTCCTATTTTTATGGCGATCCGATATACGAGAATTTACTGTTTACTGTATTTAAATCATTGTTTGAATTTATTTTGCTGGTTGGGTTTCGGCTCGTCCAACACTAGTATACGATTGTGTCGGAGTAAAGCCCGGGCCAGACATAGCAACTGGCGCTGACCGACACTAAAATTGTCGCCCCCTTCGGACACCCGGGCGTCCAGAGCGCCGGCCATTGCCAACACCCGCTCCTTAAGACACACGGCATCCAACGCTTCCCACAAACGGTTGTCCCCGTAATCGCCTGACGGATCCATATTGAGCCGCACAGTGCCGGCGAACAGCACCGGGTCTTGCGGTATAATAGACAACCCGCCCCTTAAAGCAGCCAAACTCACAGCCCCGGTGTCGACGCCATCGATGAATACCGCACCGCCGGTGGGAGGAATCAGTCGGAAGAGGGCGGTGATTAGCGACGACTTGCCGACGCCCGTGCGGCCAACTATATCCACTTTCTCGCCGCCATTAATCCTAACGTTCAGATTGTTGAGCACCGGTGGGTCCGATGGGCTATACCTTAGGCTAACGTCTCTGAACTCTATGACCCCCTCCCGGGGCCAGCCTTTGGGCGGTGACCGGACTTCGGGGCCGGTCTTCAGGTTAGGCTCCGGCGCGATGTGACTGTACTCGTCGACCCTCTCGACTGATGTCATTTGGCTCTCGAGTTCGGCCGACTGGCGGACCCCCCACTGGAATACGCCCGACAACGACAGGGCTGTGGACACTGTAAGCCCGACGACGCTGGCCGTCATCGACGGGTTGTCCGATTGGGCTGTCATATAGCCGGTGACTGAGCCCACGTATAGCCAACACAACACGTCCAGAGCGATGCCAAACCAGCGGATGGCCGATAGAAACAAAAACCAGGCGCCGGTGTGTCCGTCCTGTAGGCCGTCAAACATGTCCGCACAGGTAGTCTCGGCGCCAAACGCTCGCACAGTCGCCAACCCATACATAGTGTTTGATAGATGCGAGTATAAGGGCGACCGGGCGCTGGCCTCCAGCCGTTTCACAGCCCGAGCGCTGGGTATGTAATACCGGCGCAAACAGTAGAAAATGACTGCCAACGCGGCTGTCGGGGCCAGAGTTACCGGCGCTATTCATGCGGTCATTGCCACCGCACCCACCAGTTGGACACCGATCTGGAGGGCGTCGAAAGCGGTCACCGGTAAGAGATCGTCGACGAGTCCTATATCCCGAGCGAATCGGTTCAATAGGACACCAATGGGTCGGTCGTCGATGAAGGCGATCGGCGCCCGCATTAGGCTATTTAACAGCCGGTTGTGTAAAGTAACCGACGCTCGCATACAGGAGCTGAAGAATAGCGCCGTACGGATCAGCGATACGGCCAATAGACCGGCCATTAGGGCACCAAACGTGATGATCATCGCCCGCCGTGAGAGCCCACGTACCCACTCGTGTTGGTACAGGTGCTGTTCGCTGTCCGTCCAGAGGGACAGCAAGTAATCGCTGCCATTAAATAGCAGTTGGGTTAAGACGTTGGCCCCGATGATGATGGTTAGGGTTAGTATACCGGCGCCCGACCGCGCGTACAACCAATAGACACCGGCCGTTACGGAGCCCATGGTTTGCTGTTCGCCGCCGGAAGCGTTGATTTGTGGCTTTTCGCCGACAATGTGGTTGTCCTCTCGGAGCTCGTGGTCGCCCTGTACTGTCTGCTTGGATCCGGTGCCCGACACCCGACGTATTGGTTTATTTTTGGTCACTTGTGTAGTGTCTGGACTATTGTCCTCCCTTTTCTCGCCACATGTATTGATGAAATCAATGCCCAAATTCACTAACTCTTGGTATGTGCCGATCGCCTGTTGCCGGCCCTCCCGGAGCACAACTATCTGATGGGCGTCAGCGATGTACTGAAGCTGATGCGTAACCAAAAGTACCGTTTTGTCCCGCAGATAGCCTCGGATGCACTTTTCGTAGATGTGTTTGGCGACGGCTGTGTCAACGGCACTGGTAGTCAATGGCAGAAGTTATAACATAATGTTTTAGGTGTTGGTTGTATGGCATATACCTGAGCGGGTCGTCCAGTAAATAAATGTCTGCCTCCCTATACAGAGCTCGGGCTAAATTGATGCGAGCCTTTTGGCCACCACTTAATGACACACCCCTTTCGCCCACTACTGTCGCGTCGCCTAATTAGCAACAAATGTATGCTATTATTGTAATTATTAATTAACAAAAAGGTAATAATTTAATAATTAATTATTACATATAATTACAGACCGTTTGGAAATAATTGCAAATCCTTTTGAAGGGCGCAAACGTGTAGTACTTTCCGGTATTTCTCCTCATTATAAACACCGCCGAAGAGGACGTTCTCCCGAACCGTACCGGAGAAAGACCACGACTGTTGGCTATGGATGTGTTGGCTCG